TTATACGGACATGGTAATATTATCTAAAAGATATTCTAAACAGGACTTGAATAATGGAATTTATATTGTTAATATTGAGTGATTACCTATATGATTTCTAAAAAAAACTGAGTCTTTAAATATTTTGTATTTAACCTAACTTTAACACGGCGCATCGTTAGGCAATAGAGGTACATAAATGTGTGTAATAACATAATAATATTATTGCTGTTTTTAATTAATTTGTTTTAAAATGGTTAGTGTGCTAAATAATTCCTAATATTAAATATATTATATACTTTTATTGTAACTTGTGATTGAAATAGGTTCCTTCGACGTCTGTAAAGTATTGATTTAAACCATATAAACACAATAAGGAAAAAGCAAGTGGTGTCAAACCTGGCAGGCTATTCAACAAACAAACGAAAACGTAAACGGAAATTCGTGATTAAGGTTAAAATCTATTACCCACCTTTTGTTAGTTGAATAATTGTGGTTTATTTTTATCGTTTACAAAAATAGAACTATAACATATCTGTATGTCACATTTCGTATGTAATTTTCATCATTAAGTTTAACAAATTGAATGATGAGATTATTTATAATTGTTACCTGTAAGTTGCATACGTATTACCAGAAATAGTTAATAATTATCCAACGAGATAGTATAATAATATTACAACTTTTAATTATTTAAATAAGTTTGTTTACCATTGTATTTTAAATCATTAAAACAACATAGATTTTTAACTTTTTGGATGTATTTTTGTAATAATATACATTATGCTGACAATATTTACGGATATAAAATATCTATRATTATATAGCTGATCCCCGTGCAATTCGTTGCCTTTATCACATGTTATCATAAAAATATACAAACATCTGTACCAAATACCTCGTCATGTTAGATGAAACTTGACTAATTTATTTCATTAAAGCTTTTAACATCAAGACCATATAAAAAATTTGAACTTAGCTTTATACTGTTTGTCAGGTTTTACTGTGCGAAGACAATTTCCTCAGCGTACATTTGTCCTGTATATATGTATTGTATGATAAAATATACGTAACAATGTGGGGAACAACCTTCGGTCGATGGACTAGCGTATGCCAAATATGTTTTACGATAATCTTGTAAATAATATTGACAATCTAGAATATAAAT